TGCATCGGAGGGTAGTCAACAATATCTTCTGATATGGATATAATTCATCATTCGATAGCCCAGGATATTTCTTAATATGGATACGATGCATGTGTTGCTAGACCACATCTATTTCCTTTATTTCTAGCAAGAAGTATATATCCCTGCATACCCCATGATACACCTGTGAATAAATCAATGAATAGAAAATGATAATGTTGAATAACAAGTCATGGATTTGATTGGCACCAATGTGAAGGGGGATCAAACTGATGTACTCCACCATTCTGAGGAAGTTCTTAAAAAAGTTTGCCAGTATGAATTAGCCAATTACTGGTTGGTATAATTTCTTTTCAAGTTTCGGGTGATTTGTTGTATTGTTCATCTTGCACTTGCAAATTACGTGTTATAATGATAATTTTCAACAGTGAGAGAATATTTTTGGATTGTACTTTTTAAAAAAAAGCTCAGATCACAGCATTTTCTTGCATTCAATACAAAATTCAAAACAATCAGATCAAGAATTTTCTTAAAACTCAGATCAAGCTGATAGTTTTTTTGTTCCCACCTAGTTTGCTAAAACACGGCGCCCTCTGTTGACCAATTAATGAAACCTGCAAAATTTGTGGGCCAACAAATATTGAGCAAATAAAATGCTAAAAAATACCCCTTGCATGAAATATTTTTTTTGTGAGATTGTGATGTACTTCATGTTGAAAAAAAGATTCACATTTTTGAGAAAAGCTGTGGAAATAAATAAATGTACATACCCCACGAATTCTGGCAAATCCAATATTCTTCTCCCTCATCTGAAGTGCCAAAACCTACAACCAACAAAACATGGTCTAATACGGTTTGGGAACAATCCGGGTCGTCATAGATACCAGATGTATAGAACTGAAATGATGGATGACTAGCATCAACCAGTGCAAATACTGGTGTCATGGAAACTGCAACAGCAAGAGCTGACTCGTCTCCTGAGGGTACAACAAACTTACTTCCATGTGGAACCTGCAAAATTGTTGAAACATTTTATTACAAAACGTGTGCAGTGCACTTTTGTATTTCACATAATTGTATTTTACATTGTGTTGTATATATCATTAATGGGAGTCAAACAGCATGACTGTGGTGCTTTAAGTATTACTCTTTACCAGGTGGAAATATGCAATAGAAAAATTGTGATGTATGTAGAAAGAAAAAACTTCACTATTCTAACTTCTAACATCTTGATTTGAAGACAATTTTTTGTTTGCATGGTGTAATGATATCATGAATGAAAATGGTCATTCAACAGTCTAACTGGCTGCGAGTTTGATTGAACACAGGTAAAAACATGTGAAATTGTCAAGAAATTTATTTGTACCTTTGCAACTACAGCACAGCTGTCATTAAGACACTTTCCAGATGGATCTGGTTTATAACTTGTCTTCTCACATAATCCACTTATATTATGAATACACGAGAAAACTTCATCAACAATCTGAGGAACACTTAATTTACTGGTGTATTGTAGCCTTTTATTCAATGACCACGAACAGCAATCAATAACCTCCTAGTTACTCAATAGATTTAGGGTACCAGTATGGATGGCATGGTAACTTGCAACAGCATCTGAGGTAAATAGAAACAATTGTTTTTTTCAAATTCATGCATACGTTTAGTATAAGGTTTTGAAGCAGTGTGTTATTGGTAGACTTAAAAAAAAGAGGCAATGGTTGTTGCATGCAACAGTACTGTGGATTACCATTACCCTTGGCTGTGGCTGCTATGGCAGCAGCACTACTGTCCTTACTGCTTACCTGCAGCAACCGTTGCAGCAGCTCGACTGTCCTTACTGCAGCTAACATTGCAGCAGCACCAATTTCCTTACTGCTTACCTGCAGATACCATTGCAGCAGCACTACTGTCCTTGCTGCTTACCTGCAGCTACCATTGCAGCAGCACTACTGTCCTTACTGCTTACCTGCATATACCATTGCAGCAGCACTACTGTCCTTACTGCTTACCTGTAGCTACCATTGCAGCAGCACTACTGTCCTCACTGCAGTGACCATTGCATCAGCATTACTGTCATTACTGCAGCTAACATTGCAGCAGCACCAATTTCATTACTGCTTACCTGCAGATACCATTGCAGCAGCACTACTGTCCTCACTGCAGTGACCATTGCAGCAGCATTACTGTCATTACTGCAGATACCATTGCAGCAGCTCTACTGTCCTTACTGCTTACCTGTAGCTACCATTGCAGCAGCACTACTGTCCTTATTGCTTACCTGCAGATACCATTGCAGCAGCACTACTGTCCTTACTGCTTACCTGCAGATACCATTGCAGCAGCACTACTGTCCTTACTGCTTACCTGCAGATACCATTGCAGCAGCACTACTGTCCTTACTGCTTACCTGGAGATATCATTGCAGCAGCACTACTGTCCTCATTGCTTACCTGCAGATACCATTGCAGCAGCACTACTGTCCTTACTGCTTACCTGCAGATACCATTGCAGCAGCACTACTGTCCTTACTGCTTACCTGCAGATACCATTGCAGCAGCACTACTGTCCTTACTGCTTACCTGCAGATACTGTTGCAGCAGCACTACTGTCCTTACTGCTTACTTGCAGATACCATTGCAGCAGCACTACTGTCCTCACTGCTTACCTACAGATACCATTGCAGCAGCAATACTGTCCTTACTGCTTACCTGCAGCAACCGTTGCAGCAGCACTACTGTCGTTACTGCTTACCTGCAGATACCAATGCAGCAGCACTACTGTCTTTACTGCTTACCTACAGATATCATTGCAGCAGCTCTACTGTCCTTACTGCTTACCTGCAGCAACCGTTGCAGCAGCACTACTGTCTTTACTGCTTACCTGCAGATACCATTGCAGCAGCACTACTGTCTTTACTGCTTACCTGCAGATGCCATTATAGCAGCACTACTCTCCTTACTGCTTACCTGTAGCTACTATTGCAGCAGCACTACTGTCTTTACTGCTTACCTGCAGATGCCATTATAGCAGCACTACTCTCCTTACTGCTTACCTGTAGCTACTATTGCAGCAGCACTACTGTCCTCACTTCAGCGACCATTGCAGCAGCATTACTGCAGCTAACATTGCAGCAGCACCAATTTCATTACTGCTTACCTGCAGCTACCATTGCAGCAGCACTACTGTTCTTACTGCTTACCTGTAGCTACCATTGCAGCAGCACTACTGTCCTCACTGCAGCGACAATTGCAGCAGCATTACTGCAGCTACCATTGCAGCAGCACTACTGTTCTTACTGCTTACCTGCAGATACCATTGCAGCAGCACTACTGTCCTTGCTGCTTACCTGTAGCTACCATTGCAGCACTACTGTCCTCACTGCAGTGACCATTGCAGTAGCATTACTGTCATTACTGGAGCTAACATTGCAGCAGCACCAATTTCATTACTGCTTACCTGCAGCTACCATTGCAGCAGCCCTACTGCCTTACTGCTTACCTGCATATACCATTGCAGCAGCACTACTGTCCTTATTGCTTACCTGCAGATACCATTGCAGCATCACTACTGTCCTCACTACAGTGACCATTGCAGCAGCATTACTGTCATTACTGCAGCTAACATTGCAGCAGCACCAATTTCATTACTGCTTACCTGCAGCTACCATTGCAGCAGCACTACTGTCCTTGCTGCTTACATGTAGCTACTATTGCAGCAGCACTACTTTCCTCACTGCAGCGACCATTGCAGCAGCATTACTGTCATCACTGCAGCTAACATTGCAGCAGCACCAATTTCATTACTGCTTACCTGCAGCTACCATTGCAGCAGCACTACTGTCCTTGCTGCTTACCTGTAGCTACTATTGCAGCAGCTCTACTGTCCTCACTTCAGCGACCATTGCAGCAGCACTACTGTCTTTGCTGCTAACCTGTAGCTACTATTGTAGCAGCTCTACTGTCCTCACTTCAGCGACCATTGCAGCAGCACTACTGTCATTACTGCAGCTAACATTGCAGCAGCACCAATTTCATTACTGCTTACCTGCAGCTACCATTGCAGTAGCACTACTGTCCTTGCTGCTTACATGTAGCTACCATTGCAGCAGCACTATTGTCCTCACTGCAGTGACCATTGCAGCAGCATTACTGTCATTACTGGAGCTAACATTGCAGCAGCACCAATTTCATTACTGCTTACCTGCAGCTACCATTGCAGCAGCACTACTGTCCTTGCTGCTTACATGTAG